TAAAATACTCAATAAAATATTGGCGAACCGAATCCAAGAACATATCACAAAAATCATTCACCACAATCAAGTAGGCTTCATCCCAGGGATGCAAGGATGGTTCAACATACGAAAATCCATCAATGTAATCCACCATATAAACAAACTGAAAAAGAAAAACCACATGATCATCTCACTAGATGCTGAAAAAGCCTTTGACAACATCCCTTCATGATAAAGATCTTGGAGAGAATAGGAATAACAGGAACATATCTAAGCATGATAAAAGCAATATACACCAAACCAACAGCCAACATCAAACTCAAAGTGGATTCCTCTAAAATCAGGAACAAGACAAGGCTGTCCACTCTCTCCATACCTCTTCAATATTGTACTTGAAGTTCTAGGTAGAGCAATAAGACAAGAAAAGGGGATCAAAGGGATACAAATTGGAAGGGAAGAAGGCAAACTTTCACTATTTGCATATGATATGATAGTCTACATTAGTGACCCGAAAAACTCTACCAGGGAACTCCTACAGCTGATAAACACCTTCAGCAAAGTGACAGGATACAAAATTAACTCAAAAAAATAAATAGCCCTACGAGATACAGATAATAAATGCAATGAGAAAGAAATCAGAGAAACAACTGGGGAACAAGTGTTGAAATACGTGAGCCTATATCAATTCCCCAGCATGGGCATGAGGGATGGGAAGGAATAGCTATGGCATTACTAGAGGAATGTTCCATTTGGATCCCCACTCTGGACTCCTATGAGAAGGAAGATTGAAATAAAAACTCAGTCTCCATTGGTCAATATTTAAATTTGCATGTTACACCTCATGTCTGGTAGTGAACTGAGATTTCTGAAGCTGTTCATCTTAGCAGTCGAAATAAGAACAAGGTCAGAAAAGGGCCTCAAAGCTCAGTTTGTTCTTTTAAGAACAGAGCACACATGTGGAACACGGAGTCAGCAAATGACTAGGAGATGAGATACCATTATTGAGTTTAGGCATAGCCATCGACACATAAACCATGCCTGCAAAGTGAGGCATCCCACTTGTAATAGTGACAGGCAATAGCAATCTCTTCAAGAGGTGACTGGGTGCCCAGACCTTCCCTGGTTTTAACAGCAAGACAGAAAATAGTCCTGATCAACCAGACTGATAATTGAGAACACAATGGCCCTAAATGGATAAACACAATGTAGTTCTTTTCCTCCATTTGATGCTTCTACATCTTTTCCTGTATCTTTTAACTACACTCTTAGAATTTATCACCCTTGCCGGGTGTTGGTGGTGCATGCCTTTAATCCCAACACTCGGAAGACAGAGGCAGGCGGATCTCTGTGAGTTCGAGGCCAGCCTGGTCTCCAGAGCGAGTGCCAGAGAAACCCTGTCTCAAAAAACCAAAAAAAAAAAAAAAGAAAGAATTTATCACCCTGGACCACATATACATTGGGCCTGTTTTTTCTTCAACATTTAGATATTGTCTATAAACAGCATACTTTGGTCATTTCTTTGGACTTCACTCTTTTGGGGAGACCCTTGAGTACATGTAAACTGAGCAAAATGTCACCAATACATATTAACTGACTTCTGTATGCAGCCAATAACCCACATAGTGACTAAGGGATCTCTCTCTCACTCTTACCCTTGCCCTCTCTAGCTCTTGATCTCTCTTCTCTCACACTAAACAGCTCAAAACAATAGAAATGAGCCCATATGGTGGGCACATGACTTTAATTCCAGCACTCCAGAGGCAGAGGCAGGCCTGGTCTACAGAGCTAGTTCCGGGACAGCTATGGCTACACAGAGCAACTCTATCTTGATAAACAAACAAATGAAAAACAATAGTAATGTATTATCTCATTGTTCTAAAGATTGGACATCCAAATCAAGGTGTCAGTGGTACCACTCTCTCTCTCTCCAAAGGCTCTAGGGAGGGATCTTTGCTTGTTTCTGCTTAGTCTCCAGTGATTACTGGTCAGTCGTGGCCTTCATGGTTTGTAGATACAATCTTCAAAGCAAAGTGACATCATACCTCCGGTGTCTGTCCATGTTTCCATCTTCTTATAACCCTCATGTTATGTTGAAGGGACCAGCTCCCCTTTTGGCAGTCATAACGGCAGAACACGTGCTTGTCTGACTTTGTCCTAGACACTAGAAAGTCAGATGCCTGCCGGAATCCCTGGGTTTTGTGGGGGGTCCCAGGGAAAGGCCCCGCCCCCTTTTCGGCAGCCATAACGGCAGAACACGTGCTCTATGACCTTGTCCTAGACACTAGAAAGTCAGATGCCTGCCTCGTGACAAGGAACCAATCAGAAGTTAGCTGGTGGCGCTATGCTTTACGACCCTGGGTGTACTTTACGGACAAGCACACAGCAATGACGCAAAGCATAGCAACCACCCTGGGAGGGCCTATGGACCATAACAACCAGTTGGCCAATCAACACAGAGCAAAACCTCCAATGCTGGAGGCACACCAATAGTAAGCCTGTGCATACCCCTAGACACTCCCCTTACACTGTCCTATAAGATCTCAGTCCTGAGGCTTCTCAGAGTCTTTTGGGAGCCATCCGCCATGGCGGGTGGGTGAAAGACCCAAACTAACATGGGGTTAGCTCATTAAATTACAATAAAGCCTCATGCAGTTTGCATCAAGCTCTCGAATCCGCCTGGTGATTGGGGTAACCTCGGTCGTGGCCTGGGATTCCGGATACCTGAGTTTTCTGGGGGTCTAACATAACAATGTCTGCTGTTAGGTATGGCATAGTCCAGTGGATAATCAATGGCCTTCCTATTAACCATGACATTACAAGGATTTAGCAATCACCTCCCATGAACCACAGGCAGAGATCAGACCCTTCTTAGTATACAGTTAATTCTTTACCACTCTGCCTCAGTCCGGCCTGTATCAGTCCCACGCCATCTATTCCGGGCTAATGTCTTTGGGGCTGCAATCAGAACCAGCCAAACAGCCCCAGATCCATCCCTGAGTGGGGCAGTGTGGATCAGGAAACTCCCAGCAACCCAAGGCGTTAAGGACAAGACAGAGACATCTTGTCATCTCAGGAGGGCTCTCAGTCCATACTGGAGTCCACAGTTTATTCAAGCATCCTCTTAAATAGCTTTCCAACAGTGGGGGGTATAGCAGAAGCCATCTATTATCATGTATAAAGCTGATATCAAATATTTCCTTTAATCCTAGAGACACCCCTAAAACTGCATGTGCTCCCTAGTCTCTCACCAGTCCCTAGGCACATTCCACCAGCCCCCATGATGAGTGTGCCAGGGGCCTAGGCCTATTGTTACACAAACTAGGAGACATTCTCCACCAAGGCCAGGCCATCCGGAGGTAACCAGCCAACATCTGAAAGACAATGGAAGATTCAAGCTCCTGGAATTGAGTTGAGGTGGTTTGCACCAAAAATTTCATAATCGGTATTCGGGCCCTGGACACCACCCTCCTTTGTTCTCCAATCTCTCTCTCTCCTCTCTCTCTCTCTCTCTCTCTCTCTCTCTCTCTCTCTCCATATTGTGGAAAAGATGACCACTAACATCCCCAAATCAACAGTAACTATAATAAGCAAATATTTGGGTTTTGGTATTCTGCTTCATTTCTATATAGTTGGCCCTGTTCAGGTCACCTCTTGAGTTAATTATTGTTGCCAATCAAAGGAAGCACTTGGTTGGCCCAGCATGGTTTATGAGCCCAAATCTGTGGGTGTGGACTAAGGCCTAGAACCATTAGAATGAAGATGGAGGCACTTTCCTTGTGTATTATTTACTCTCCTGTTGCTGGGCCATGGTAGCTGACAGAAACAACCTGAGGGAGAGAAGTTTTCAATCACTGTGGGGACAGTATAGTGGAACCCACCATGATGGGTATGTATTGTGGGTGTTCCTTACATCATAGCAGACCAGCAAGCAAACATCCAGGCTAGACCCAAAGTGATAGGGTCTAGGGAGAAAACAGTACAGTTTTTCTTTGGTTGGTGGTGAGATGGAAACACGAAAAAAATATTAGGGAAGTTACCCACCCGGTCCTGAGCATTTGGGGCCATCGTTACTGAGGTTGTGGTTTGTTCTTCCAAGCTACAGAACTAATGATTGGGAATTCTTACATAAGGGCAGTTCCTTGTCCTGGTAACACATGAGTCTGTGCTGCCCTGGCTTGCAAAGTGAAAGCCTATCATTGACATCAACTCATCTAGCCAATAAACGTAGAAAGCAAATTGATAATGAAAATATTCCTGCAGTAAACCTAAAGCTGGTATAAAAGTTATGAAAAACCAAACTCATAATTCAGATAAAATTGCTTTAATGTAAAAGGGATCTTTCCAGTGGGTCACTGCTGCAGTAGCTTGTAGCCTCTGGGTGATCTGTTCTCCCTCCTTTGACTATTAGAAGAACAGGACTAGAATCTAGAATCAGCTCGGTGAATAAAAGGGTTTTGGTCGTCTCCTGCTGCTGTAACAACTTTAAAGAATGCTGGAAGCAGGGAGAGGACAGATGTTAACAAAATAAGGGCACATGGGAGATGAAGGGATTTAGAATTGGAATCCCGAGGCTTAAAGGAAGAAGCGAGGTGGGGTTTTCGGGTGCTCCGGGTATCTAGGGCACAGAACCAGGCAAGTTACAGACTTTGTTTTTCATTCTTCATGAAAGATTAGAACGGGGGGGGGGGGGGGACACTTAAAGGGACGAGGTTTTAATTTAGAATAGTAATCAGCAAGACTTAAAAGCATGCAATAATTGTAAGGTACAGGAGACAAAGGGTACCGCGTGCTTCTAGGGAGGTCAGTGAGTAGAAGAGGAGCGTTGCTCGGTGGATCTGGAGCCCGGGGAGGCTAGTGCGCAGCGGAAGGGACCACGAGGCTTGACGGTAACTCGGTGGCGCCGCAGCCCCACCCTCGTGCGCAGGCGCGGAACCGTTGCCGGCCCAGCGGTTGACCGCCGAGCGGTTTGCTGCCTAGTGGCTTAGCCAGCTTGACATCATGGCGACCGCCCCACCCCGGGACAGTGTGCCGAGCGTCCGCGGCTCCGTGACGGCGCCAGCGTCACCGACAGCCCGAGGTAAGGGAGAGTGAACAAGAACAAAACTGTAGGATTTACCAAAGGCTGGGAGCTCAGGTCCGAAGGACGGAGGGAACCGGAGCAGAGAGCAGGTACCCTGGTGACACTTGTCACCCAGAGAAGCCTGGGGGGAGAACTGGAGCTGTGATACGTGCGTCCTGAGTACCAGCGACCCAACACGGGATGGAGACTGGTGTTCCCGGGAAAACTGAGGCTGAGGATCCTCGCTGCGGCACGGGCGCCGGCTCAGAGTCCTGAAACCCGTGATCGGAGTGGGGGAGTACGGGAGAGATGCTGGGGACCAGGAGTCGCTTTGGGCATTTCGTGCATAACTCTCACCGAGCTGCCCCTTCCCTCTTCGCAGTCTAGAAAAACTGAAACAACTTGGTCCCTGCTCACTCGGGTCGGTTCCCCCGGACCCGTTCGAAATGACACTTGCCTCTTCCTGCCTGATGCCTAGGCTCCGTCGACGTGAATCTCGTGGTGGTAGTCCATGGTGGCGGAGCCAGCAACATCTCAGCCGACCGGAAAGAGCGGGTGCGCGAGGTCATGGCCAAAGCAGCCACCGAGGGCTACAACATCCTCAAGGCCGGAGGGAGCGCCGTTGATGCTGTGGAAGGAGCCGTGGTTATCCTGGAAAACGACCCGGAGTTCAATGCAGGTAAACTGTGCTTTGCCTAGTGAGTAATGCGAAATCGGGGCAAGCTCCTGCCCAGATAGGCACAGTATCCTTCTGTCTGGCTGGCTTTGTGGTCAAACAGTATGCTGGGACAATATGCAGTATTGAATTTTCTCATTCTGCCTTAAGGAACTTGTTTTGAGACTTTTTAAGTCTATTAATTCGCCGTTTATTTAACCTGCTGCCCAAGGATTCAATACCAAAAGCCAAGCATCTTTCTAGGGAGCCCTCCATATCTGTGGGCCTTGGGGTAGACCTAACATACCATCAAATGTAGCCGTTTCGATTTTAAGAAGCATGTGTGCATCTCTGTGTGTGTTCTCTGCCTCCCCCCTTTTAAGCTCAGAAATCCTGAACAGATGCTGAAAGAATCCTTATCATCTATCTGGCTAGCAAATTGACTTTGGATGGGTCTCTAGATAGAGCTTTTTTTTTTTTTTACAGACCAAGCCATGAGTGGAAGCTTGGGATTTACAGTCCCCCTTATCCTATGGGAAAGACAAGGGTGCCCTCACAGTCAAGCAGTCCAAAAAACTGCTTGGGGGTTGGGAGAGCTTCCAAGTTGGTGAGTATGGCCATGGGCCAGTCCCAACTCCACAGCAAAAGAAGGCCCAGCACCAGGCAACCCTTCCTGACTCTGACCTGTTCGTTGGACTGCCTCCTTTATATAACATGCTAGTACTAATCTGACTGAGTTCTGTGAACTGCTCTAGAAAATTAAGGTGGCTTGCAGTCCTCTGGCAGAAGATATGAATAACCTACTGTTTAGAAATGGCATTGAAGTAAGGAAGCAATCTTAGGGGACTGAACCCCTTAACCTGTGGGATCAGACTCTTCACATGGATAGTGTCAGTGTCTGCCAGAGCACTGATGTGGGGAAAGAACTTACACATCTATGTCAGAAGTAAATTCTGAGGATGTGGAAACACCACATCCCCCCAGCAGCAGTTTCCTGCGCTTTTGCAGTCACTCCCCCTTTGTCGACAGCATCAGCCCATTGATCTACTTTTGTCAGATTAATTAGTTTGCATTTCCTAAAAACTCATATAAATGCAGTCAGAATGAGTTTATTCTGTGTTTGACCATGTTCCAGGATAATGATCACCATAGTTTATGTGTCTACACATCCCAGGTAGGAGTGGTCTAAGACATTTAGAAGATTAACTGACTTAAGTTTCACTAGAGTGGTATGAAGTCACCATAATTACTTTGATCATCTCTCAGAACACTGCAGACACAGAAAGATCAACTTACTGGGAAAACATTTATTTCTTTTGTTTTGAAATAAAAAACCTAAGATCTTAAGATTAAAATACTTCTTGGAACTGCACCACCTACACACCATCTGTCATGGGAAAAAATTTTGGGATCTCTTAAACAATTAATCATCAGGTGTGTACTGTTTGCTCCACCACCTTGACTCTGTTGGATGCTCTGACAGTGAACAATTCTGTGAGTCAATCAGCCTGTCCACAGATTGAGTGTGCTTTGATTCATTCAGTGTGCCAGCAGGGCAGAGCCACAGCCATGCCTGTGGGGATCAGGCTAAGCTGTGTCTGCTTGCAAGAAAGACCAGGCATGCTTGAGACATACAAATACACATGCAGGCAAACACTCATGCACGTGAATTACAAATTTAAAGAAAAAAAAAAAAGCTGAAACAAAAGCAAAGCAAAACCCTGCTGCACACTCAGTGGCCAGTGTTCCAGTGATTTGTACAGAACACTGAAACTTGATACACACTTTGAAGCACACAAAATTTTACTCATAACCAAATACATCTAAAAATTTTAGAAAAAAATGTTTAGGAATAAGGACTAGGAATGTATTTTCTTGCCTTTGTTTTGAAACTTCCAGGTGGTTCTGAGGTGTCACCAAATTTACAAGCCACTATCAATCAGAGTGCCAATAATTTTTAATGTTTTAATCTCATATATTGACATGCAACAAAATCCCCTTTCCTAAGTATAGTTTTGTCTGTGATAAATATATAGTATAATAACCGTTGCCCAATAAAGATAGAAAAAGTCCCATTGCCCCACACCCCTTTGAGTCTAGGCTCTACAAAGCCATATACGCTGCTAGCAATTATTTACTGTTCCCATGGGTTTTGCCTTTGCTATTGTCACAATGGGACCTTGTGATATGGTAAGTTGTTACATCTGGTCTCTGGTTACCATGATATGTTAGTGATCTCCTTAGCCAGAGGGATCCATGACTTCACCCTTTTATGGCTAACAGTATTCCACTATCTGGCATGTCCATCACAGCCAAGGAGAGTCCAATACAGAACCATAAACTTACTTAAAACCTGACTATTTCTTTTTTTTTTTTACAATTTTTTTAACTCAAATTATGTGACTCTTGAGTGTGAACTTTGGAGATGACAATGTTGTATTACAGTTGTATCAAAGTCTGGACCCTCCGGGTAAAAGTACAACCACTTGTGTAGCCAGTCACCAGCTGAACGTGGTCCACCTGAAGACACTTTAAATTAAATTACCATAAACGGAAATGGAAGATTTTTATATGAACACAAGTTTTACTTCTTTTGGGGCATTCAAGAAAGGTTATGGTCTAGTTTACAAGAGTATATCTAACTTTATTAGGAACTTGCAAACTCTGTGACTATGAATGCCTTCTTCTATTTCCAGGAGCATACAGACACTCTGATGGGTTGGTTTGTTTTCACTTTAGCCAGCCTAATAGTCAAGGTAAACATGTGTTGTAGTGCTCATTTGTGTTTCCAAAAATGGTAAGTGACGTTAAACATTTTGTGAAGTGCCTATTCAGTCAAGCCCTCTGTTTGTTTTTTCTGTTTTGTTTTGTTTTGTTTTGATGCAAACTGCACGAGGCTTTATTGTTGTTTAACGAGCTAACCCCATGTTAGCTCGGGCCTTCCATCCATCCACCATGGCGTATGGCTAGGAAAGCTCGAAGCGTCTGCTTAGAGATCTTATAGGGCAGCATAAGGGAAGTGTATAGGGGTACCCACAGGCTCAGGATTGGTGTGGCTCCAGGCTTGGAGGGTTTGCCCTGTGTTGATTGGTCAACTGGTTGTTATGACCCATATGCCCTCCCAGGGGGGGTGCTATGCTCTGCGGGTCATTGCTGTGCCCTTGTCTGTAAAGCACACCCAGAGCCATAAAGCATAGCACCACCAGCTAACTTCTGATTGGTTCCTTGCCACGAGGCAGGCATCTAACCTCCTAGTGACTACTCTGTTTTTATTAGGTTATTTTCCTTCTGAAGAATTCTGGGGACTTTTTATATCTGAGATATAAATCTCTCATCAGACCAGCAGATGCTTCTTCCTCACTCTGACTTTATCTTTTTTGTCTCTTGTGAATTCTTTCCAAGAGTGTGGAGTAGAATAAGGTAGAAAAGACCAGTTATCAGATAGTGGTTTGTTGATTTATTTAGTGATTCGCTTAAAGCACTGCCAGTGCTGCCCATTTGCCAAGCATGACTTTATTGTTACCTGAAACAGAATGGCCTAGAGGATTGTTGCCCTTAACCTGCTGACTGCCCTGAATGCCTCTGTTAAATCTCCATTGCTTGCCCACCCCACCTTGTGATTTTTAGAGTTTGAAATGAAAAAGCAATCTGAACCTAAGACCATCCTAGCTTCAGCCCACCAGTGTCCTCTCCTCTCGTCCACTCTCCTTGGTGCTGGCGCGCCTACTCCAGAAAGAGTCCCACCGTGTCAAGTACATGTTCTCGATTTTGTAGAACAACTACTTTTCCTTTTTTGTTGTTGTAACAAATCATGTATTTCCTATCATAACTTGGAGAATATTTGCCTAAAAAATTTTCTTTTGGTTATCTTCTAAAGTGTATATCAAGTTTCAACATTCTGTATAAATCATTGGAGAAATATGTAGGAAAAAAACAAACTGTGTCTCCTTTTCTTTTTGTAATTATTTTTTTTATTTTATTAGTTCAAATTAGGAACAAGCTTGCTTCAGATGTCGATCCCTTCTCCCTCTCCCCTGTGTCTCCTTTTCTACATTTATGGAATACTCTGGCCCCTAATATTTATCAGGGTTTTGTTTTGGGGTTTTTTGTGGTTGTCATTTGGGGGGTTGTTTTGTTGTTTTTTATTTGTTTTTTATGTATATGAGTATTTGCCTGAATGTATATTTTTGTACCTTGTGCATGCTTGGTACCCTCAAAGGTCAGAAGAAGGTGTTGGACCACCTGGGAATGGAATTTATACACAGTTGTGAGCCACCATGTGGATGTTAGGAAATGAACCTGGATCATTTAGGAGAGCAGTCAGTGCTCTTAGCCACCATCTCCCCAGCCTGAAGCAGGGTTTTTAATACCACCAGTTCTCTAACACTCTGGATCCCAATCAACTGTTTTTCTACCTCAGTGGTTCTCAACATGTGGCTCACAGCCCCTAGAGAGATCACATATCAGGTATTTATATTAGGATTCATTACAGTAGCAAAATTACAGTTCTTTTTTTAAAATAATTTATTTACATTAATTTTATGTGCATATGTGTGAAAGTGTCAGATCTCCTGGAACTGGAGTTACAGACAGGTGTGAGCTGCCATGTGGGTGCTGGGAATTGAACCTGGGTCCTCTGGAAGAGCAACCAGTGCTCTTACCCACTGAGCCATCTCTCCAGCCCCAAAATTACAGTTCTAAAGTAGTAATGAAATATTTTATGGTTGGGATCACCATAACGTGAGGAACTGTATTAAAGGGTCACAGCATTGGTAAAGTTGAGAACCACTGCTCTACTTGGAGTTAGTATAGACTCAATATATTAAGGGCTCAGTTGCACAAAACTGTCCCCTACTGAAAATACCAGTCACAAATATTGGATCCCCAGGTTAATTATACTTGTGTCAATTGTGGCTACAAACTGGGCTTCCTGTGTTGCTCTGCTCAGCTTCAGTCATTTTCTATGATGACTGAAAAGTTCAGAAAGATTCTTCCTTGTACTTGCTCATTTGTAATGAAATGAATAATGAATAGTAATGATCAGTCAAGCCAGGTGTGGTGGCGCACGACTTTAATCCCAGCACTCAGGAGGCAGAGGCAGGTGGATCTCTGTGAGTTCAAGGCCAGCCTGGGCTACAGAGTGAGTTCTAGGACAGCCAGGGCTGTGTAAAGAAACCCTGTCTCAAAACAAAACAAAACAAAACCAGTAAGAAGGGGAATGTGGTACAAGGCCTGGTCTGTTCTGACACTTCTCACTTATCTACCAGGACAGAATTGAAATCCTGCCACTGAATCTGCAGCTGTCCTGCTTGGTACCATATGCACATTGTGTGTCTGGGGGGAGTGGGGGGTTAAATGACCAAGAGTGAAGAAGGGGATCTCATGCTCTAGAGGCATGGTCCTTCCTGAGCCCCTTTACTGGGGCTGGGCTGCGTGTTGGGGGTGGGGTAGTGCATACTGTCCTTACAGCTTTTCACAAAGAAGCGGGAAAATCTTCAGTAACCAGGCTGCCACTAACTTAGACTTGGTTGGATCTGTTCTGGCACCTATGGGGGTGTGTTTTTAACGTTAGAAGATTATAATGATGCCAAGGTCATTTGGAGTATGAACGTGGTGTCCACCTGGTCTTGAGACTTGCACATGAGTGTAGAGCTATGGGGGTGTGTTTTTAACGTTAGAAGATTATAATGATGCCAAGGTCATTTGGAGTATGAACGTGGTGTCCACCTGGTCTTGAGACTTGCACATGAGTGAAGAGGACTATGTGATGACAGCTGGGGACATGTTTCCAGTGTAGCCGATGGGACAACAGACCCGTAACGAGGGCTCAGACCAGTTGGTCCTACAGATGCAGGTCCCATGTGCCTGCCAGAGCAGCCAGTAAAATACAGGGAACGTTTTTAGCAGCTTCTGATAAAGGAACAGATTACTGATGTGTCTGCTGAAAGAGTTTTGTCATTTTGTGTGTGTGTGTGTGTGTTTGTGTGTGTGTGTGTGTGTGTGTGTGTGTGTGTGTGTGTTTTCCCCCTTATTATGAAGTTTTATATGTTACTTGTATATTCTAGACAGAAATCTTTTATTGCATATATTAGTTTGGGCTGTAGTTTTTTTTTAATCTCTCAGTTGGACCAAAAACAAAAAACAAAACAAAAATAAAACTTTTAACCAGACTGCCTTTCAGTGAGTCCATTTGGGATATTTACATTTTATACAACTGATAGGCTAAGGGCTTACAACAGCTATTATGTTTTGAGGTCTATTTACCCTCATTTTTCTGTTTGTTCTTTCTTCCTCCGTTAAGCTATGTAAACGACGGTTTTAGAAATCTACTTTGCTTTATCAATAGTATTGTGTGTATATCTTTGCATAAAATTTTAGGGGTTTGCTCTGCGGAGTGATACATAACTAACCAATAATATAAGCATCTTGCCAATGGAGGCAAAATGCAAAGACCGTACCTCTGTGCTCAGCCAGGGCTAAGTTAAGGTTCACCTTGTTTTCAGTTTTCTTTCTTGGGTACATTGGGGACAATTTCAGGATCTTGTCATTTTTTGCAACAACCAACCAACAAACAAACAAACCATAGACGAGAAGGCAAGCCCACTGTGTTTGCCCAGCTTTTCACCTTCTCTGCAGCTGGTTCTTCTATCTTGGTTTTGCAGGGCTCCTACTCCAAAGTTGTCTCTCTGCTTCAAGGCTTCTTATAGCCATCTTCCGGGTTAGGTCCACTGGCAACAGATTGTTTTCTTCCATCTGTATTGTAGACTGTTTGTACCCATGTTTGTGCCCCTACAAAATTCTACTGTTGAACCCAGGATCCCCCACTATGCCAAGATCTGGTGATAGGGCCACTAAGAAAATGGTTCACATTAAGTGAGGGCATGGGACAGAGTTCTTCAGGCACCATTATTGTAATGGAATAATGCAGAAAACGGCCCCTTACAGCTAGAGAGATGCCTCAGTGGTTAAGGGCACTGGCTGTCTTCTAAAGGACCTGAGTTCAATTCCCAGCAACCACAAGGTAGCTCACAGCTGTCTGTAACTCCAGTTACAGGGGGACTGACAACCTCTTCTGGCTTCCAAGGGCACCAGGCACTCATGTGGTGCACAGACATACATACAGACAAAACATCCACACACATAAAATAAATAAATTTTTTAAAGACAAAAAAAAAAAAAGAAAGAAAGAAAAGAAAAAGAAAAAAAAGAACTGGGGATAACTCCTTGGGTAAAGTGTTCAATTGTGAGAACCTAAATTTGGATCCCCAGAACCCACACAAATCCGCAGTAGACCACATCTGTAATTATAGCACTCCTACAACACGATAGTAGGTATGGCCTCCACACCTGTGCCATGGTGCACCATGCCAGCACTCATAAGAACAAAGGATCTTCATTTGTTAGACCCCCAGAAAACTCAAGTATCCAGGGTCCCAGGCCACGTTCTCGGTCACCCCAATCACCAGGCGGATTCGAGAGCTTGCTGCAAACTGCACGAGGCTTTATTGTAATTTAATGAGCTAACTCCATGTTAGCTTGGGTCTTTCACCCATCCGCCATGGCGGATGGCTCGAAAAAGACGGCTCCTAGGGCCTCCCAAGAGATCTTATAGGACAGCGTAAGGGGAGTGTCTAGGGGTACACACAGGCTCACGATTGGTGTGCCTCCAGGCTTGTAGTGTCAAGGACAAGGTCATGGAAGCACGTGTTCGGCCGTTATGGCTGCCAAAAGGGAAGCTGGTCCCTTCACATTAACTGACTAGAGTTTATCCTCCCTGTAGCACCAGGAGAGAGAGAGAGAGAGAGAGAGAGAGAGAGAGAGAGAGAGAGAGAGGAGAGAGAGAGAGAGAGAGAGAAAGCATTGGAATGCAGTGACCTCAGAGAAAGGTCAGCCTTTTAGGCACTTTGACCTTGGGCTTCCCAGCCTGCAGATTGAGAAGTAACTTTCTGTTGTGTAAGCAACACAGTCTGGGTTATCTTGTTATAGTAGCCCAAACAGACTAGATTCCATAGGTGTATAGGAAGGGTATTTTGTTAGATACAGAATTCTGATTTGATAGTTCTTTTCTTTCAGCCCTTGGAAAATGCTGTACCTCTTACTGGCCTCCATGGTTTCTGCTGAGAAATCCTTTGTCATTATAATTGGGTTTCCCCCATAGGTAAGGTGTCCTTTCTTGCTTGCTACTTTCAAGACTGTTTTTCCAGTGCCTGGGACTGAACCCTCGCAAAGCACTTTACCTGGCCCCTCAAGACATTTTTATATTCTTTGTATTTAACAGTATTGGGGGTTTACTCAGCCTCTTGAATTTGTAGATTTAGACCATTTGTCAAATGTGGACAGTTGTCAGTCATCACTTCCTTGAATGCTTTTTAGACCTAGACTTTCCCTCCTCCCTTTAGGGACTCCAGCAAATTAGGTGTTAGATCTTTTGTTAGGGACCATTGGTTCCTTAGGCCATCCTTACTTAGCTTTGTACTACTTTGTACCCCTGTCTACTTTGTACCCCTTGTTCAGTTTGGGAAATATCTTTATTCTTTCTCTTTCTTTAACTATTCTTTTCTACTAATTTATACCACTTACACAGATAAATGAAATTTTCTGTGTCATTTGCTTACGAAACAATACTACTGATTTTTCTGTATTGACTTAAATCTATTTGGTTGCTATAAAAAGAAACAAAGACTAAGTTACTTTTATAACAGACTTTTATTTTGATTATTATCATGTGTGAGTGGGCATGTGCGCATGGTGTGTGTGTGTGTGTGTGTGTGTGTGTGTGTGTAAATGGTGTACATGTACCCTGCATGGCCTGTGAGTAGATGTCAGAGGACAATTTTCAGAGGTCAGTTCTCCTTCCACTATGGGTTCTAGAACTAGAAATGGAACTTGGTTCCTCTGGCTTCTGTGGAAAATGCTTTCACCTGGTGAATCATCTTGCCTGCCCCTGGATTGCTTTTAAACTGAAATTTGGGGCTGTGTATTTTTTAAGATTTTTACTAGAGTGTGGTAATTACACATAATAATGTGTTCCGTTCTGACATTTTCACACCTATTTATATTTTAATCGTTTACTCCCTTACTATCTCCTCTCTTCCCCCTCCAACTCTCCCTAATCTTCTTCCTTTTCCCAGCTAGTCTCCTGCCCTCTATTTTTATAACTTTTAGTCTTATTTTTTTGTTGTTGTTTTGTTTGGGGGGACAAGCTCTCACTGGGCGGCTCAAGCTGGCCTGGCTCTTAGCCTGTGTTCAGCTTCCTGAGTGCCAACGTTACATGAGCTGACACGTTTCTACCGACCACCGGCCCACAATGCATCTCCTACATAATGTATAGTGTATTGGCTAGGCCATTCGATGGTTTGATTCATTAGGAATAATGGGAGCAAACACACTTGCTGGTGGCCAGCCACAGAGAGAAACACTTGAGCTCTCACCGTAACGTATGATTTTGGCTGTAAGAGTTTAAAGATGACCTTTATTGGATTGAACAAATCCATTCATAAAAAACGGTCTCTGCATGAGGGTGGTACCCATGAACTAATTATCTTTCATTAGGCCCCACCTCTTAAAGGTTCCCCTACCTCAGTGCTACAGTCCTGGAGACCTGTGGGGGACAAACCATATCTAAGCCAATAGGTACCAAGTCAGATATGTTTTCACGATGTTCCTTTAGCAGTAGAACAAAAGATGGGTTGAAAGAGGTGGGTTGCAGCAAAATATGAAGTATTTTTATAAATTTTTCACTCTTGCTTGTCAATTTCTTGATTTAGGTTGTGGGTCTGTCCTGAATGAAAAAGGTGACATTGAGATGGATGCTAGTATCATGGATGGGAAGGACCTGTCTTCAGGAGCAGTGTCTGCTGTGCGCTGTATCGAAAATCCCGTTAAACTTGCACGGCTTGTTATGGAAAAGGTGTGTGTGATGGAAGCCTGCTTCCCAGAAGCTGTTCCTGCTGGACTTCTGGGGTGATTGGGCTGGGCTATGAGCAGTGCTGGAGCTCAGTGTTCTCAATACACACAAGAGACACACACAATTCGTTAGACTGCCACAGATTAGTCATTACTTTGGTCCTGTTTGATGACTAGTAACTGTGTGATACCTGCTGACTGTGTCATCTCCTGCCACAGCTCAGCAACAGATCATTTCACTAGAGCTCACCAAAGCTCTGGGATTGACTATCAGCACAGAGAAAAAAAAAGGGGGGGGGGGCGAGGATACAGTTCAATTTTCACTTTAAGGCACTTAACACTAAAAAAATAGTAATTATTTGCATACCATAGAACAGGTAAACTGTAAATATATGTGTGTATATATACATATATATTTATTTTTAAAAGTAAAACAAAAACAAAAAAACCTTCTTTCTCCCCTCCCGCTCTGGCTTAGACACCTCATTGCTTTCTGACTGCCCATGGTGCAGAGAAATTTGCAGCAGACGTGGGGATGCCACAGATTCCTGTAGAAAAACTGATAACGGAGAGAAGCAAGAAGCACCTGGAGAAAGAGAAGCTTGATAAGGGGGGCCAAAAACCTGACTGCCCTAAGTAAGTTCCAGATGCCACCCAGACTTCCCAAGTCATACAGGTGGGGAGTTTGGCAGTGTCGCCTCACCTGAGTTCCCTGAATAATTGAAACTCTGTGGAGGGAGGGCAACTCTCCTTAGCCATAACTTTACCCTCATTTATTCCTCCTGTATGCATAAGAAGTTAGACTAATAGTTTTCTCTGGCATGGTTAAGCAGAAGGTTGCTAGCCAGGCTTGATGGCACACAAACATGATCCCAGCCATCAGGAGGCATGACGAGAGGACAGGTTTCAAGACAGCCTGAGCCACAGAGTGAGACCCTAGCTCCAAAACAAATAATTCAGTAGGCTCCAGGAGTTCATAAGAGAATAGAATTTAGTCTCATAACAGTACAAAGTTGCCAGAGTTTAATCAGACGTCAACCTTAAAATAACTAGGCAGATTACATATATTCAGACTGAGTGCACGCGTGCACATGCACACGCACTGTGTGTGTGTGTGTGTGTGTGTGTGTGTGTGTGTGTGTGTGTGTGTGTGTGTGGTCCCCTTTCCCAAAGAATCGGTTTGATGGGTCTAAGGCAGAGAAGCCAAGCAGGTATAATGTGCAAATCTCTGAGATAATTCTGATGCCTTTCCAGGTTATAGGATTGAAGATGTTAACAAACTATTATTCTCCCGCTTGCTCCAAGATAAGGTCATGCTATGGAGCCCAGGCTAAGCCTGAACTTTGCAATCCTTCTGCCTCAGCTTCCCAGGTACTAGGACTTGAGGCTCTTACATCTGTGGGCTACAGTCAGAGGAGTAAGGCTGCTGGATCAGGGCTTCATGTTCATTTCAAAGCTGTCTTCCTGTTAATAGCTTTCTGAAAGTTGTTTGTGAGCTGAGGGTATGGTTCAGTGGTAGAGTGTGTGCTTAGTGTGCATAAAGCCCTGGGCTCAATTCCCAGCACTAAGAAGAAAAAAATCTTTTGAACTGTACATCTGCACCAGACAGTGCTAGCTACTCTTAGATATAAATGAGTGGCTGCTTACCCTGGACGCTTCGATTTAGAGAGGTCAGAACAGTTTATTACAGAATGCCTGGGGCACCTTTGTCACTCAGCATCAGCCCAGCATGACTGATAGCCCCTGGCCTCTGTTCCTGTCACTAACACTGTGCAGCCTCAAGGAAGGAAAAGCTTTTCTGCCATTCTGGTGTCCGCTCTTGGAAGCAAAAGCTTCCTGAGCCCAAAAGTGGTGTGTGTTTGGTGGTGGGTGGGGGGGGTTGGGGGGGGGGTGGTGGGGTGTGTGTGGTGGTGGGTGGTGGGGGGGGGGGGGGGGGGGGTGAATTTTTTTTAGTACTTATACCATGAAGCATGTTTCCTCACAGTGGCAACAGTCCAATTCTTTGCCTCCACGTGTTTCAGTTTAAGCTTCTGGAGGCATTCATGAATTAGTGCCATCTCTCCAAGAGTTAAATTTGTGAGTGTCTCCATCTCAATAAAAAACACATATGCCATTTAAATTTTTCTGATAGCCACATAAACAAGAAAAGGACACAT